TGAGTCTCGACATGGTTCCTCTTATAAACTCGATTGTACGGAAATTCCGCTCAAATTACTTGTAGTGACTATGAGACTGACGCAATAATAAAATATTCGCGTGGAATGTGCAAAGAACACCGTACTCTTGAGGGCAACGTGCACGTTTACCTGCGAGATGGTCCGTGCCACTCTGCGGTGAATGGGTCCGCAGTTATGGAAGAACGTCATTTTCGTCATCGAGAGGAGAGGAATTGTGACCAGGGTACAGCATCCTGATGTGTGAAATGGTGGTATCAGTAGGACCCCCTCCCCCCTCAAGGGAGGGTTTCAGAACGACCTTCCCCTCACCTAGAAGAGGAGAGAGTCCCCTCCCCCCACCCAACACCTAGGCACCTACCCACCAATTTCACATTTTCCTGTTTTCCACCCGGGAATTCTCCGTCGAGTGGGAGAGGGGAGGGGGGAGGAGGGGTATGGTACACATGAAACCTGAAAAATTCACGAAAAGTCAACAACCGAGAAAAATTTTTCCCAACGCGGCAAATTCCTCTCAAAGCCACATACGACCCCCCCCCCTCTCCCAACAACGACCAAATACGACCCCCTCCACCCTATGTGTTTCACACAACGATGCTGTACCCTGATTGTGACTGGAGACTGTAGTGAGAGGTTAATGTCATTTGAGTCTTCATCCGATGTCCGCAACGTGCAGCATGTGCTTCAGTGCCGAGCTCCCGCAGCAAACGAGATGAATGTAAAGTCACTTTTCCAAATAATGAATACAGCCACCTAAGGCAAGGAGAGGAAAGCGCGGTCAAGAAAGGCGATGGGCGTGGCTGGCGCATGACTGGTAGTGCGGCATGTTGCGTGTTGCATGCTTTCTTGCACTAATTTGTGACGTTCGGCGCAGGAGGCACAGCCAGACACCTTCTCCACCCTCGCACGGGGAGAGGGCAGTGCAAGAGGAGCGCTGTAAGGGTGAGATCTCTAAGCCCACTACACATAACTCTCCTCATCCAGTGCACTGCAGGACGTCAGTAGTCATCTGCAGGAGTCCAAGTAGTGTGCTGCTATATGTTCAGCTCATTGAAACCCCGGGCGGCTTTGCATTGCTCCGCCGAATTGGCAATCCGTCCGAAGCTAGCGCCTACCTGACGCGCTTCAGCAATATCACGTTTTCTGAATTTCAGGGGGGAAATTGAGCCGAGAAATCAAAAGGATGATCTTCGAACCCACGACGTAACAATTCCACACTACGGTCGTGTTAGGGCAGAACCACTGCTCAAGAAAAATCGAGTAATTGTGACACTTCAATATTATGAGCACCGAATCTGATTGTGTCAAAAGATTCAGTGGGACAACATTCCATGTCGATGCTATTACTGTTGCAGTAGCCCGGCGTATCTTGGCCGCCAACTGTTTTCGAAGTTCATGGGCTTGATGGCTGGAAACGGCCGGTTACTGCCAGGTAGGATGGCCAAACGCCTTCTAGCAGTCTTTCTACCAATAATGTTGGCAGTAAACGCCGCCCCCAGCCATCCTGCCCACCGTTTTCAGACCCTACAATGAAACTAGTGCTCCAAATTTCACACAGAAGTTCATTGAGAATGCAATGATGTGGGCAGTTGAAATGACAATCACAGGAGACGTGGAATTGATGCTCATCCGCAAAGCCCCATACTCTTGTCACACGTGGAGTTCCTAGGACAATTCGCACAAGTATCACCCACTCTGTAGATGCTTTCGCCAACCACGTTGCCACTGAAAAGAGCCCACGATCACGTTTGGTTGCACTAGCATGGCTAACAGAGATCTACCCAGGTCCGTAGTGGCAGACAGCAAATATGAAACCGTCACATCGATGATGGCCACATCCGAGTCTCACGTTGTCGTGCCAGGCCATCTGAAAAAAAACTAATGAAAGTTGTTAAAAAATCCAATCCAAGAAGGCGAAAAACCACAACCTTAGTAAAATGGGTGACAATTCTGGTTTCACGGTAGCGTACTGCCGAAGTGAACCGCATTTCAACGTTAACTCCATACAGTGATAGTTCCTTCCACCATCTGAACGATGCCTGAATGAAATGCCAATGAGCCATTGTCACAAGGATCCTGGTCAGGGAAGTTCGGCACTGCGTGAAGACCATGCAGACGGCCTACGCGCAACAGCCCAGGTGACCTTGCTATTGTTGGCGTACCCCGTTCCTGCAATGAGAACCGGGCACCCACTCTGCGCGGCCCAGTGTCATCTAGAGGCTTCTGACTGGCAATTGGAAGTTCGTATGAAGTTAAATACCGTATACTTATCATAGTATACTTTAGGTCTTTTTCGTTTAAATACAGTTTTCCGTAAACGGCCCAAACTGCGGACCACTGAGCTATTTCCACGAGGTATTGGCCCCTTGCTTCACTTGTGAGCGGCTTCTCGCAATGTCATACCCTACAATTGGTGGGAACACCCTGTCACTTCGCAGACCAGCCTGGTCGGGGCCTTTGCTGCAATAATGGCCTGTAACCCGGCGCAAAGCTAAAAAGGAGTCTGAGGTTAATCATTCACCCCAAGGAGGAACCTACAGGTACTGGGTGAATTGCCAGATCGCTTCCGCACAGTGCACGCGCTACTACTCGGAGATCCCACGAGTAGGCGCATCGATATCTGGTCGCCGGAGCGCTAGAGAGAAGGCCGTATTTGCCTCTAACCATAAGAAAAACGTTTCTGCCTGCTCACTTTTCTCTGCTTTTCCGTTTCATGTGCACCGCATCCCTTCTCAATGGCATTGAAAAAGCGAAGTTTTGGGATGAGTGAAGAAGAGAGGTAGGAAGTTGGGAGAAACCAGGAGATGGTAGGGAGAATACTGATGGGCCGCCGCGGAAGGAGCTAGAAGGAAGAGGCAAGACGCTTCCAAGTTTCTAACAAATCCCCGCCCCCGCCCCGCGCAAATTCTCCCCACCTCCATAGGAGGGAGTGTAAGCGCAGAACATTTAGCAGTAGGTTACGACATACATGCTTGGCAATGTCTGTGTCGTTTAGGTAATTCTTGTTGAGTTTGACGATATTCTCCTTGTATCCGGGGCGAGTCGATCGTTCTGACAGCTCACCAGAGCACGTTTTCGCATGACGTAGTGCTGATTTCTCTGCAGTGCAGTCATAGTTCTGCAAAAAAAGAATTTAGGGTTATGATTCTACGGAAACTGGATTAAAAAAGATTTCGAAATTCGAATCACCATTTTCTGCATGTCCTGAGCTTTGGGTGCATAGCCAAAGCAGTCACCATTGAATGCTAACCCTCTCGCCAGAATCGACCTATAGGTAGTTCAATTTAATTTAATTAACAACTAATTAGATTAATTAATTGAATTAATTTGTGCATATCCTTTACCAGTAGATGGCAAAGACATGGGCCAGAAAATATTTATTGTGGCTTCTTCTCTAATTCTTATTCTAATGGTAGAGTGGTAGAGTACGACCCTTCAATAGGAGTCTTCAAACGATGATAATAGTGCGATAAAAAATAATCATTTATCTAAATGCTTTTCATAAGCTCAATATACCCCT